TTCTCCGTTGAAAGTTATCAAATGTTTTATGGTTTCTAATTATCGAAAAATATATGTAAGATTGTTGGAATAAAGGATAAATAGTTAAAAGGAACAACAAATGAGGGTTAAACACTCCGCAAAAAATTATTCCTTTGTTTTATGGGAAAATTATAATTTAAGTGTATGCAACACTCGATTTCATTTACATACATATATAACCATTTGATAACAATTTGTTGACTGCTTTGGAATTTTAATAAAAAAACATTCTATTTTTTTTGTTGATTTTCGTTAAATTCTTACTTTTAAATATTTATAAATTATTTATTCTTGTTTTGCACTCGATTTATTTACCAGTGCCTAAATTCTATCAACAACTATCTTCACTTTAAAGACTATCTACAACCGATAGCTTTCTTACGGTGAATCCCAACGTTTGGCTCGTTGATGTTATCAGGGAGAAAAGTGTACCATTTAATTTTGCCGTTATCGTATTGAGCTTTATAAAGCGTTTATCATTAGCTAAAAGAGTGACACTTACCACTGCCGAAGAGTACACAAACAAAACAAGAGAAATGTATACATTTAATGAATAGAAAAAGTTTAGATTATACGTTTCAATCGACTAAATTTGTAATTGTTTTCGCTACTATAAAATGCTAGATTTCCAAAGTCATGTTCTTCGATATGTAGGTAAACTTAACAAACAACAATATATCGCTAAATACTCGTATGCTCCATATTTTGTTTATTTACTTTTTTGTACTTTGAGTTATCGATTCTCACGTGTTTCATCAATTTGTGGCATGAATCCGGTTGATAGCGCTGAGATTGATAGATTGGGATTTATTGAAAAAATTATCGTTTTCTGAATAGTAGCGGCCGAAGTCCGAGGCGACCTCGCTTAGAGAGATTGAAAAACTCATACTTATAGCATGAGGTGTATAATCGGATAATTTGATGGGAAGCTAACCCATACCTGCAGACGAAAGGCATATGCTCTTTTCACGATATCCAATCATGTTTGGTCCAATCAGTGCATGGTGATAGTGCTCTTAGTCGTATACCCAGTGCCAAAAATGGTTGTCTCCGCACGCTCCCGAACGAAAAAAGCTCGCATGAGCAATTCGAAGGTGAAAACGATGAAAGTTGGCGTTTTTGATAGCCATGGAATCGTCCACAAAGAATTTCTTCCACCGGGGCAAACCGTATATCAAGTCTATTATCGCCAAGTACTCGAAAGATTGTGAAAACGAGTCAACATTGTGCGCCCAGAAATCGCTCGTTATTGGATCCTTCATCACGACAATGCGCTGGGCCACACCGCCCTCAGCGTGTCCCGGTATTTGATTTCTAAAGCAGATCGCCGTGTTGCAACAACCGCCTTATTCGCCTGATATGTCACCCTGTGACTTTTTTTGTTGCCTAGGACAAAATAGGTAGTCACAGGAACTCATTTGGAGTCGTTTGAGGGCATCCAGGCGGCCGTCACGAGGCTACTCGCGTACATCCCAGTCGAAGTGTTCCAGAAAAGTTACGAAGCATGGAAAACGCGCTATAATCGTTGTATAGCTGCCCAAGAGGACTACTTTGAAGGGGTTGGCAGAGTTGCGGAATAATTTTGACATATACGGTTTTTATGGAATCAGTCTCATTACCTTATTAGCACACCTTGTAGACAACATCTAAGCTAGCTAGCTGGAGAAGTTACGACACCTACTGTTGTCGCAACCAAAGTTGGCCCTTCCTCGCCCTCGACCTAAGCATCTTAATGGTTTTCCATGAAATAGAGGCTTAAACAGCTTTTTACTGAGTTGTTCCTTAACGATTGACATTGCCTGTCGAAGAGCGGCGGTAGACACATTTTGGATATTAGTATGGCCCACCACCACTAGAAAAAAAAACACTCTTGCAGGTAAGAGGTTGCAGAATTTACCTGCGCGTAGTCGTTACAGTCGTAAGACCCGGTTTTTATACCGGAAAGATCCGCATTTTTAACCAAACACGGACTATCACTCCCGTAATATTTCGTCGAAAACCGTTATGTGAAATATTTTTGAAGCTACATCACTTCAGTCGAAAATGCAGCTCAATTGGCATTTCAACATTTTTGGACTGTGTATCATTTACAAAAGGATAATTATATCGTTAAAGTGTTTTGATCTCGCCATACTTAACCTTTACCAACAAAAACCAATTACAACAACACGACACACAGAGTAAGACGGCTGATAAAGTTTGCTGCAGAGCTTTTGTTTTTCGTTGGAGGGCAACTTTTGTGGCTTTCACCGTATACAGTTAGAAGATGCACACAACCCCGAGTAAGCAAACATTGCTATTGAAATACTTAAACAGCAAATTCTTCCGTATGCTTCAAGTTTTTTTTCTTACACTTTTATTCATTTATTTAATATTTTTCATTTTCCCTATTCACCTGTAGCGCACTACTCGCCGAGATATTGAATATATTATCTCTGCGACTAATCAGTAGCTTTGGTAAATATTTGCTAAGCGCTGGCGTCTGGAAACACAAAGAAAATCAAACATTAAACGGTAATTTGGCCACTTAGCCGTAACGGTACGGCGCGGCAGACTCACAAACTCAAGAGTCAACAACCAAACGCTCTGATCAGTGAGCCAGCAAATTGCAAACTCAAGAGTTTTTCGTCATCAGGCACCCAAGGAAATCAACTCAAACTCGAGACAACAATCTCATTCCTCCCCAGTGTGCTGCGACACACACTCCCGTTGATTGCTGCGCAAATACTTGTTGCGCATGCGCGTGTTGGCGTTTAGACCGCAGACGAGTTAAAGTCAGAGATGACGAGTTTGATTTTTTTCTTTTTCCAAATGCCTTTCTTTCTTTTTGTTTGTACGCTAATTTCCGTTTGGCCACTCTTTCTATTTGCCAAGTTCTTCTTCCTGCTGTGCCTGTGGCTTAACCTGCTGTGTGCTGTGGCCTGTTTGACTTGCCATTTGATTAGCTGCCTTTCAGCCATGAGACCACGCAGTTGAGTGTAAGTGTAGCCAGCACCCACACACCAACAGCAGGTACGGCTTAGTAATACTACAACTGTAATACTGCCCACTTGTAGTCAACAACTCAACACCTGAACAAACCTCTGCACCTTGCTGTCCGCGGCTAATTTGGATTTTAGTGTTTGTTGTGTATTTTCGCAAATATTTGACACCTTTTAACTTTTGTAAATTCTCAAATTTTCGGTTGATTGAGTTGTGGCTTTATTGTTTTACAACTAGTTAATTGGGATTTCAGTGGGTTCAAGAGGTCTTGAGAAAAATTCCATTTGGGAAGGCTAAAAATTTGTTTTGAAAAAATACCAAGCAATTATGTTTGAGGTTAAGATTTGAAGGGAACATTTTAGCTAGGAGAAAACTCTTGCGGTGCGCCATCTCTCGCCAGCCAAGCTGAATTCTCATTAACTCATTAAGATTACAGATTTTTAAGTCTAAATACAGCCTCAAAATGCCGGGGGGTAATGAATGCTAGGAGCATATTAAATAAAACCATTGTTATTAAGAAGCTTTTCGAGCCGCACTGAGTGGTTTTTAAGACTCTAATTGTTGGGTTACAGATACACCAGCTTGAATGGCTATTTCATGCCGAAGGGTGACCATGTTTAGAAATTGCCATGATCAGGACTTGAGCCAACAATATTTTGCTTCTCAGCAAGCACTGTAATAGAGCAGCTGTTACATACATTAAATGCCATTTGAATAAGTCAAATTGAGACTTTGTAACCGCTGAAGAGATGTTCGACCGAGCTCCTGCTTCACTTCGTGTATGTGTTGTTTTACCACCAAACGGAGGAACCTAAAGTTTATACTAAGTTGCCTCCGAGCGGCCAAAGATTTTTTATTTCCTGTCAGAAAAAGACTCAAACAGGTTGACATTCCCTGAAGAGGGGCGGCCGCAATTCGAAAATTTAATTTTCTATAATTTTAGATATGGGCCTCACTAGAACCCGAACCCTGATTTTAAGAATGGCAGTACACATTGTTAACCACTCAGATATTGCGACGCCGAACTGTTATACCCCGAGCCCAAATTCTTTGGCCATCAAATAGCCCAAGCTCACTTCAACACAAAAGAAATGCAGAGCCTCTACCAAAAGCAAAAATATTCCAACAAATTTTAGTAAGTTTTTCTTTACAATAATCATTTATTTTATGTCGTTTTATCGATGCCATAAAAATCTATCATCCTTTTAGAAGCAATCATCAATGCTGTCCAATCGACCGTCGCAGTAGTGCCAGGTGGACCAGGCAGAAAAACCTTGCATGCGTAAGACCTTTTGAGCACAACGCACAGAGGGTTCAATATCGTTGGTCAACAAATCATCGCAACTGATGTCACACTGGTTGTAGGAGAAACGACCGTCGGCAGGTTGACACCAGTAGTAATCGTTGATCTGGAAGATACCGTAATCGTTGGAGCCATTGTAGTTGGTGGGACCGACGACATAAGTGCGGTAGGAACTCTCATGTTCGGCGATGCAAGCCCAACGTGCCAATTGATCTCTGGGCACACCCAAGCGGGACATCTCACGAGCCAAAGAGCAACGGTTCAACACGTCACCAAAAGCGGGTGCAGCTAAAGCCAAAGCTACTATTAAGCAGATGAAGAATTTCATGTTGTTTGTATTTAGAACTGATTCTATAAAACTGATGATTATTCTCAACAAACTCAGAGCTTTTATAGTGGTTCTAGTGACAGTGGGACACGCCTCTAAAATAAGTATTTGAAGTGCTGAGGCGTAGATAAGTGCGATTAACTGACTTATCTAAACAGTTAATGTTGTTTTTTTTTACGGCATTGACACTTTTCTACGCAAACTGCAACAGAGGCATCTCATGTGTGGAATTTTTAACTGTTCATTACTGTTATCTCATGTTCAATAATATCCATTGCATATATACAAGTGACTTCTAGCGATATCTTTCCCAATTTTTGGACATTTGAAATTTTGATAACATTTATCAATCAGCCAAAATCTCTTTAAATCAGTATAAAAGCGCCTCGCTTCGCTTACGAAAATATCAGTTTCTTCTACTGTTTGCACTAATTAATCTACAAACCATGAAAGCTTTCACCATCTTATTCTTCGCTTTGGCTTTGGCCGCACCCGCTTTTGGTGATGTGTTGAACCGTTGCTCTTTGGCTCGTGAGATGTCCCGCTTGGGTGTGCCCAGAGATCAATTGGCACGTTGGGCTTGCATCGCCGAACATGAGAGTTCCTACCGCACTTATGTCGTCGGTCCCACCAACTACAATGGCTCCAACGATTACGGTATCTTCCAGATCAACGATTACTACTGGTGTCAACCTGCCGACGGTCGTTTCTCCTATAACCAGTGTGACATCAGTTGCGATGATTTGTTGACCAACGATATTGAGCCCTCTGTGCGTTGTGCTCAAAAGGTCCTACGCATGCAAGGTTTTTCTGCCTGGTCCACCTGGCACTACTGCGACGGTCGATTGGACAGCATTGATGATTGTTTCTAAACTGCTTTTGATATAGATTTTGTTTGTGAGAAAAAAAGAAATTAATAAAAATGTTTCTATAAAAATATGTTGTTTATTTACTTATTATAAATCCATGCCATAGGGGAGGGTATTTTTTAAATTAGTGCATTAAGATCTACGGGTTATAAAAAGATTTATAAAGGTGCTAAAATCGTTACATTCTTTCAAAACCTGCAGACATTGAGAAGCATTTTTCTCTCAAGATTTAGGGGAGAAATAGGCAGAACGAAAGAAGGAGATTGGGCTTTGCAAAAATCCATCCAAATCGTGAGTCATCAGTGATGAATACTCTTTGATAAATATTCCTTTTTCGCAGAAAATATATGTTAAATATCTGTTTTGTTCTTCACTTGAGGCCAGCTTTATTTTGTGTCCCTATCCCGCTGTTCAATACTGCGATTTTCTCTTACAGGCATTGCCATCATGTCACACGGGACAAGTAGTTTCTTTTATATTAAAAAAAAAACTTTTTGTTTATAGCATTTTGGTTATATACTTCAGTTAAAGCTCTTAATTAATACCATAATTGATTTCAGTATTTTTTTGCTTTCGAAATAATTAGCAAATGTAAGACATTCGCACGGGACAAAAGTGATTTCGATATATATTTCGAGTTATTCGGAAGAAAATTTATCTATTTTAAACAATTTATTGTCTTAAAAACATATAATTAAATAAAATAAATTGTGAAATTTTCAAAAAAAATATTTCTAACTTCGCTATTGTGACGTCATTTTCGGGGACCCCTCAGAAAACGGTGCATTTGCGTTGATAGTAGAATATATGGCATGATTATTCGAAGCGAAAAATTGTGTATTGTAGGAAAACAAATAAGTGTAAAATTGGATTTTCGCACACTTTTTTTTTAGAAAACACTTAAATTTTGGTAAAATTTCCTCAAAATTTTTTTATAGTTAATGATTATTGATTGAAAAATTTACAAAATCTTTTGTCAAATTTCTCGTGAATTTTATCTCGAAGACCTGTGCAAAATTGAAAATCGCATAAGTGGTTTTCAAGAGTTAGGCATATTCAGCCTGCCTAAGGGTTAGATGCGGGTGTTTGCGGTCAGGTCTTCTACCTCCCCTTCCAACCAACCAACCGCTCCAATTAATTTCAGAATAATTCAGCTCTTTAGAAGCATAATTATGATTTTTCAAGATTTGTTATAGCTGTTTTAAATCTTCTGTAAGATTTGGCCATATATATATGTATGTTTTTAACTTTATGAGTAGAAAATTTATTGAAGTAATTTGCTTGCTTGCAACTCTTGCAATTACATACATCCGTACATACCTACATATTTTTATATGTATTATTAAATTATTTTTATACGCCAGCCAACTATGAAAAGCCAACGAACCAATTGTAGTAGCAACTAAATATAATAATTATTTGAATATACAAACATACATATGTATGTATAGCTTATTAGTAGCTAAGTGAAAATATTATATATGAAAATATTTAACAGCGCATAAATGAGTTTACGTGATGCTGTTGACTTTAAAACTCTCATAACAAATATTTTTTCTGCACATTTCATCGCATGCAATATTACATAGGCTCTCAAAGTAATTTTGTTTAGTGCTATTGCAGTAATTAAAGTTCAAATTCACTTTATATACATACATATACATATATATACATATATACTCATATGTAATAATTTTTTCTTCACTTTTATTGACTTTGAAAGAGAGACTTAAATAAATCAAAAAGTTACAAGTAAAACTTCAGCAGCACTACAGCGAAACCGTTAAGCTGCAAACAATATTATTTGTCTACATAATACCCAATAATAAAAGTCAAATAAAAAGCCAACAATAATAATAACAGCAGGTAACTGTAGCAGAAATGAGTTGCTTGTATTTGTAAGATTTTTATTTTTTTTCTATTTTTTATTATCTTTTTTTTTTAATTTTCCCTTACTTTTTCAGTTTTTTTTTACTATTTTTAATTTAAATTTTTTTTTTTTTTTACTTTTTTCTTATACTTTTCATGCTAACTTTTCAACCACTTTTATTGTTGCTGTTGTTGTATGTTTGTTCGCTCATCGTCATCATGGTTCAAGTTAAAAATCTGTCAACTCATGTTTACATTATGCGCATGCGCAACACTTTATGGTTAGTTTGGCTCAGCCAAGTTGTAGTGTGCTTAGATGGTAGTTGCTCGTGAGTCTCTCGGGTCTCTTGGCGCAACAAGCAAATACACGAACAATTGTTAACCTAAGCGCAGAAGTCATATTGTGAACAAATTGTGTGTGAAAAATTTGACACAGTGGTTAGCGAGTGGCGAAAAATGACATAAATATATGCATATAGATATATTTATTATATTGTTTGCTTTTTTGGTGCAAAGAAAATTAAAAAAAAAAGTTCTGTATACTGAAAAACATGTAGTTGCAATCAAAAACTGTCTAAAAGTGTGCGATTAATTTCGAAATATATAAAATATATTTTTTTTCTTGGAATCGAAATGTATTCGTCCAGAAAAACCTATTAATAATTTTTGATTTAAGGCAAACATCAGCCATGCGCATTGAAATTTCCGAAAAGAGGTTTTGAGATGTGACCAAAGAGTCTATATTAGCTTTTGAAACAGAAGCAGCCATAAAAGTCTCATTTATGTACTAATACGAGAAGAAAAGTCTTGTGGCACAGCATACACTTTTCAAGCCTGGCATCATTCATTGATTTCTGAACGGAAGTTATCGTGCTGGAATATCCGATTTTGATGACGACCACGGCAAACATACAAAGAACTCTAATTGATATCATATATATAGCTAAAGCTCAACAGGTTGATGTCCTCAAAAAAATTGACTCAACGGAAGACAGTTTATAAGGCCGAGTTTGCAACAAGTTTCTATGATACCTGACTTGATGCCAGGTTTTCTAATAAACCCTTTGGAAATTTTCTACACGTTTTCGGTGGTTCGAAAAAATATTTCTCGATAATACAGTAGCTTTTTATGCTTTCATTTTATATATTTATTTACAGTAGCTTTTTGTTGCTTTAATTTTATTCATTTATTTATTTATTTATATATTTACAAGAGAATTTCAAAAAATTAATGCACTTAAGGAACAACAACAAGTTTTCTGGAGTCCTTGGCCAGTTATCGAATATCTAGAAAAGTAGTTATCGGAATTTTTTATCATTTTTATCCCACTGTTGCGCTGTATATATTAGACGTTTGAAGAATTAAAGGTCAAAAAGCTTTGATAAAGCTTTACGATTTTTCACAAACATTATTATCTTTTTTTTTTTCATTTACCAAATTCACTTGCAATACACACACTGCCTAATTTTTCTTCATTTTTTTTTTCACAAAAAAAAAGCTAAAAGTGTAATTAACTCCGCATATAACATGTGAACTGCTGCTAGCTACGGCAGTCGACAATTTTTTTAATTTATTTTATTTTTTTTTTAAATCATTTCCCATACTTAAAAGTCTCTTTTGCTTTGCGTGTGTACTTTAATCGGTTTTTTATTTCATTTTCCTTACTTTTGTTGAATTTTTTTTTTAATATTTTCTATTTCTTCATGCCAATTGTGTGCTTGAATTTTTATGAATGAAACCGTAAGTGAAGTAGAAAATACCTACCCTCTATCATTCATATATACGAGAAATTGTGGCTATCATATATATTTATACATTTACAAATTTAAGTACCTGCAATAAATGCCTTTGACTTAAGCGCTTACTCAATCCTCACTAATGTCAACATCAGCTGATTGTTACTAACTGTGCTCGTTGTAGCTGTCAACAGCAGCTGTTCGGGTAATTTTTTAAGCTGACAACTGAGCGTATGGCATATCACGGACGGCCGAGAGTAATTTGTTTGGTGTTGTAATTTATGTATTAAGTCGCTTCGCATTTATTTATTTGTCGTTGTTTTTTCTTCAGTTTTTCATACGCATCTTAAGCAACTCGGGAGAAAAACTTAAGTACAATCAAATTATGGCCATTTATTTTGTAGCAATTTCGCTGTGCTTGTAAATTTTTTTTACGAATGACTTGAGTCAAGCAAAATACGCAGTGTGATCGGCGGCTGTCTGTCTCTGTTTGTATGACAGTTACATTGTTTAATGGTTTTAAGTGTAATTTGTTGTGCTCATAAGTTTAAATTGACAGTGTGACACATCTGATGAGCGTAGATAATTATGTGTAGTAAATTGTAGTATATACACACATATAATATATAGGATTAAACATTTCGCGGTTTCAAAAGTGCAGAATTATATTTTGACAACTGTCCAGCTCAATAGTCAAATGAAAAATTTTATGTTTTGGTTAAAAGTCGGGAATTTATGAAAATGGATCGCTTGAAAACCGCACCCAGAAAAATGATGTTTCCTACTTTAAGAGTGGGTTTATGGTACACATAAACTTCCGACAACTCAAGCAATTGAAAAAATTTAAAAATAATTTGAAGAGACTGGATCGCTGGCAGACATTGTAAGACTTGGCTATCATCATTTTCCTCTTTCCGCTACAAATATCGCTACTGTAAGTGAAAGTGTGGCCGCAGACTTGAAAGTGTCCATTTCTCGACATTCTCATGAGCTGGAACTTTCTTACAGCACATTATGGCGTAAATATTCTGCACTTAGACTTGTACTTATTTCCATATTAGGACCAGCTCACACAACAAATGAAGCCAGGTAGTCTTATCTGGACACTCACACCACCGTACATAAGTTGATTGGGAGCTTGATTTTTCGAGAAAAAATTTCTTTAGCGGCGAAAGTACAGTCCGCACTCCAAGGATACGTAAATAAGCGAAATTGTCACAATTGGTGCTCTAAGAACGCCCAAGTAATTGTATTTGAAGAGTAGTCTTTATGCAAAAAAAAAAAAAAAAACACTGTCTGGTGCGCTCTTTGGTTGGTTACAACAGCGCGGAGTCACTCTCAATTCGGTGCATTGTGGTCGTAAGAGGACAGATTTTTTTTTACCAACAATTGAAGAA